CGCCGTGGTCCCGTGTGTGTGTGTGTGTGGGTGTGTGTGTGTGTGTGTGTGTGTGTGTGTGTGTGTGCGCGTGCGCCCTTACTGCACACACGCTCTCTGTCTGTGTGCTCTCCATGGTACTCATATTCTCTTTTGCCGGTCCTACGTGCCTGATTGTGGTTGACTACCGACACCGTCATGCTTACTGTTCTGTTGGTAATATTGCTATTACTACTGTGAAACAACAGCTGCGTAATACGAGCATCTGATCATCTCTGTGCGCTGCTAGCGCCTGTATGCTCTTGCAATTTAACTGTTATCTTTGCATTGTCAGGCGCACACTCTCACCGTGCGATCTTCCCTGCACTTCTCCTCCACTGTTAACAGAATGGTCATTCTGCCTTCTTACAGTGGCACTCAGGTGTTTATATGGGCATGATTGCACCTGCTTCTCAGGCAAGGCCTGATACAGGAGAGAGGATGTTGTTTGGGATGCTATTATGGGGTATGTTGGCAAGCTGAGGTGTGTTTTAATGCTCCTGGGCAGCAGTGTGCCAACAGGGTATTGACTACACCCAGCTGCGCTTTTCTCCCAATAACGACAGCTCTTAGAGGGCAAAGCCTATATGAAATAGAACGATGGTTACTATGAATATAGGCATAGCCCTCTAAGCTGGCAGCTCTGCTAACTCCACCCCTGCCAGCTGAAGAAAAAGTGCTAGCGTAGGGAGCCGATCAGAGGTCACAGTGGCATTTATGCCATCACAGTGGACCTGTTTGGGGATAGCCCAGTGCAGGGCACAGGGCGCGAAAGAATCTCTTCAGGACTGCGCATGCGTGAGGGGTAAACCCAGTAGCGACAGCTCTTAGAGGGCAAAGCCTATACTCATAGAAGCTTGGGTTGAATGTAACCATCATTTTGCTCCCAACAGGCTTTAAAGGCTCATGGATATGAGCGTTTGGTTCTTCAGGTTGGAAGAGGATCACTTCTTCCAACTGTGGACAGCTGTCTGCACATCAGACTGGAGGCTTTTCGATTCAAAGACTCTATAGCAGAGGACATGAAGCAGGCTGACCTTATCATCAGCCATGCAGGTAAGTCAAATATAAAGAACCTTCAGCACATGCCACCTGGACACTTATTTCTCTTACACTCAGCGTTGGCTCCTACAGGCATAAATCAAAGGCACATAATAATTTGAAATCATTTTATTCTATCACGCTCAACTGATGCTGGAGTGTAAGTCAAACCATTGTCTATAGTGTTGGGCTTTGTAATGAAAACATGATGCACTGTAATAGCCTTAGATAAGCGTTAGCCAACACAGCTAGTTTCTGTATTCATTGCCTGCCCTTAAGTCATTATTGACAATGTAGAAGAGCAAAACAAATACAGGCATGTCAGCAATGTACAAATATTGTGATTAATACAGCAGCAGACAAATACAACAGGAGGGCATCAGATGCAGGTAGCAAAGGATTAAAAGCAAGCAATAAAATATGAAGTTGTTTTCACACAAAGTAAATTTATGTTTGGCTGATCACTATTATTATTAATTGCTGTGTTGTTGCCACTAAAAGTTGCAACTAACAGCCCTTTTATTAATATGCTGCGTATTTTCTAGGCCAGTTAATTAGTATATTAATGTAACATTGCACATGAATGTGCAGTGGGTCTGACTCTGTGTTGTGTTACGTACAGTAGAAGGTACAGGCCACTCTTCCCAGGACTGTACGGGAGCTATAGTTGGATAAATACGCATGCGTCACTGACTTCACACTTGTTTGAAGTAACTTCACATAAACTGCAAACGCACCAGAAGTAAACAGAGAGAACATGCAAATAACATCCAATTTTACATAAACCTATCAAAGAAGGCGGAAGAAAAATATAAGACATATAAGAACAAATTAACTGAGATTTTGAGGAGATGTAAGAAACTATATTACTCTAAAATATTAGAGGATAATAAAAATAACATCAGAGGTACTTGGAAT